TTGGTTGCCTTTTTCCAGTCCATCTATGTCTGTAAATAGAACTCTGTCCAAATGTTACTTTTGAAGCTTTGGATGGAATGTGGAAGAGCTCTAACCTCTGCCAGGTTTTTAAGTGTTGCCTGTCTTCCCATCGTGGAGATTGTACCACACTTCCTGTCCCTCAGATAGAATAGGAAGTGAAAGGAAACCTCGCCTTTGACAACCATCATCAGAAAATGTTTCCCCATTATCCCCATTGGAAGACTTCTCCTCAACTCCTGTTGTGATGACGTGTACGTTTTTTGGGTTTCCCCTTGCTTTCTGTCCTATTGACAATGGTCACCAAAATCCAAGGTGATTCTCCTGACAATAATATTTGTGGAAACTTACTCTGTATAAAACTGAGAAAACCATTTCTGGCTGAGGTCCACTGTGGGGTTAACCAACTCTCCTTCCCTTCGAGATCTCCTCTGTTCTTCCCTCTACCTCTTATTGTTCCAGTCTGCAAAGTGTTTATCATTTATTAGCTTTTCTTCCCTTTTTTCTATGATACCCAACAGCCATTTGCAGACCTGTTGCTAGTCTCTGGTCAGGGGTGCAGAAGACGAGTCTAGTATTAGTATCACATACCTGGCTGGAGATTGGTTGGATTAGGAGGCTTCCCTTGCACCTTGTATCCCCCAAACTCTGAGGATGGGAACAGAGACTGAGGAGGCTCCCCTTGCACCTTGTATCCCCCAAACTCTGAGGATGGGAACAGAGCCTGAGGAGGCTCCCCTTGCACCTTGTGTCCCCCAAACTCTGAGGATGGGAACAGAGCCTGAGGAAGCTCCCCTTGCACCTTGTGTCCCCCAAACTATGAGGATGGGAACAGAGCCTGAGGAGGCTCCCCTTGCACCTTGTGTCCCCCAAACTCTGAGGATGGGAACAGAGCCTGAGGAGGCTTCCCTTGCACCTTGTATCCCCCCAAACTCTGAGGATGGGAACAGAGCCTGATGAGGCTTCCCTTGCACCTTCTGTCCCCACAAACTCTGAGGATGGGAACAGAGCCTGAGGAGGCTTCCCTTGCACCTTGTGTCCCCCAAACTCTGAGGATGGGAACAGAGCCTGAGGAGGCTCCTTTTTCACCTTGTGTCCCCCAAACTCTGAGGATGGGAACAGAGCCTGAGGAGGCTTCCCTTGCACCTTGTTTGCCCCAGACTCTGAGGATGGGAACAGAGCCTGAGGAGGCTTCCCTTGCACATTGTGTCCCCCAAACTCTGAGGATGGGAACATAGCCCGAGGAGGCTTCCCCTGCACCTTGTGTCCCCCAAACTCTGAGGATGGGAACAGAGCCTGAGAAACAGCAAGTAGCACGAGTGCCAGTGGGTGGGGCAACACTGTGTCGGGCAGAAATCCAGACTTAGGATTGGGTAGAGCAGAGCTGAGGTCACACTGGGCGGACAGCAGGGTACCAGAGCAGTAGGCAGAATCGAGGTGAGACAATCCAGGGGTCACATCAGTCGGGCAGCGAAGTACAAGGGATGAGGCAGAGGCAAAGTCCAGTAACAATTCCAAGGTCAGAAGGCAGGCAGCAATCAGGAGCAATCAGGAGCAATCAGGTACAATCCTGGTCAAGACACAGGAGCAGCAAACAGGCAGAGCAAGCAGGATCACAGGGACAAGCTGATAGACCAATCAGCAACTAAGCCCAAGCAGTGCTTGCTTTCAATTAGAGGTACTGCATCACTTCCTGTGCACCAAAATTAGCGTGCCTGTACGCGTACGCCCTGATGCACGCTCTTGCGCACAAGTGCCGTTTTCCTATAGTACAAAAAACGGGACAATGCACACGCGCAGTAGACCTGGTTACCTTACAAATAGTCCCATAGTGTCCATAAGCAGTGGCACGCAATACTGGTCAGAGTTGACGTCTTCTCAGATTACCGGGGAAAAGGGAACATTCCAATAATTCCGTGGAATGTTTCTTTTTCCTTTAGGATGAGGTCTTCTTTAGATACATGTCATCGTGCTAAGCGTGTAGGAAAAAATCCACAGGAATCCGGAACCCGTCATCCTCTTCTCTGGAACTGGCCAGGAAACCACGCTATGGCCTGGATGTCTAATCGGAGTCCTTTCATACAAATAGAGGGGACACTTGAATAAAGTAGATTAGATATGGACGCCCTGACTATTCGCCATCGACCTTTCACTGAAACGGAAACTACGCTGTGCATGAGAAAGGAGTTATATTGCCTTAAGTTTATCAGTTTTGTGCAGAGGCGGCTTCAGAGGAGAAAGTAGTCCGGGACTGAGCCTGGGACGTCCGGGAATGGTGTCTCCCATCACGTGGCATGTCAATCATTGGTGATTGGGAAAATTACTAATGGTGCTGTACATGATGTAAGCGGTTTACACTGAGATAGGTGAAAGATGTCTCCCACAGATCAGTTCCACTCACACTGAGAAACTCCAGCCAAAGATTTTATTTTCTAGTTATGTATACATTGTAGAAGTGTTAGAAACCAATCAGGAGTGAATCTAGAAACGAAGCTCCGCACACATTGAAGGATCTCCACGACCACCTTGGGTTGTGATAGGAATGAGTGAATCTAGAATTGATGCTCCGCACACATCGAAGGATCTCCATGACCACCTTGGCTTGGGATAGGAATTAGTGAATCTAGAATTGAGGCAACGCACACATCGAAGGATCTCCACGACCACCTTGGGTTGTGATAGGAATGAGTGAATCTAGAATTGAGGCTCCGCACACATCGAAGGATCTCCATGACCACCTTGGGTTGGGATAGGAATGAGTGAATCTAGAATTGAGGCATCACACACATCAAAGGATCTCCACGACCACCTTGGGTTGGGATAGGAATGAGTGAATCTAGAATTGAAGCAACGCACACATTGAAGGATCTCCACGACCACCTTGGGTTGGGATAGGAATGAGTGAATCTAGAATTGAAGCAACGCACACATTGAAGGATCTCCACGACCACCTTGGGTTGGGATAGGAATGAGTGAATCTAGAATTGAAGCAACGCACACATCGAAGGATCTCCACGACCACCTTGGGTTGGGATAGGAATGAGTGAATCTAGAATTGAGTCATCGCACACATCGAAGGATCTCCACGACCACCTTGGCTTGTGATAGGAATGAGTAAATCTAGAATTGAGGCAACGCACACATCGAAGGATCTCCACGACCACCTTGGCTTGTGATAGGAATGAGTGAATCTAGAATTGAAGTTCCGCACCATAACATCCAAGTCCAGATACAAGTTTATTAACATCCGACAACAGCGGGTTCTAGATAGATTCTGTGCAAGCCCACCTAGGAGAGAGGGACAGAGAGATTTGGTTCCAGATGAGGGACGGACGGATGGGAGGCATGCTTTGTATGCGTTGTATTTGATGTGACTGGAGGACTACAAGTCCTAAAATGGCCTCTATATACTATATCTTACAAGACTTGCGAGGCGTGTGTGCCAAAAACCAGCGCTGTCACCCCGCCAAGGTCTGCGCCGCTGTCACGGTCCCGGGGGCCGCCCGCCAACACACACAGATAAATATTAATATCGCTCCTCGTAGGATCCTGAGAGGGAGATGCGGGAGAGGACTCGCACCGGACGTCAGAGTCCAAGTACCGACCACCTCCATTCTAATCGTCTTCTATCGGAGTGTGACCGCACTGACCAGACACACCCCCTTCATGTGGCAGCTACTCACCTCTGCCAGCACAGAGCACTGCAGGAGGAAGCCATCAAAGTCAGATCTCATTACCTGTGAGTGTAATTCTCAGTATCTGTAATCTCATTCTCAGTATCTGTTCTTATTCTCGAAGTATGGACTCTGCACAGTACCACTTCTCTTGTCCTGTATGCCGGGTGTCATTCTCGGTATCTGTCCTCATTCTGTATGTATGGACTCTGCACAGTACCACTTCTCGTGTCCTGTATGCCGGGTGTCATTCTCGGTATCTGTTCCTCTCGTACTCTCAGTATCAGCGTGTATACATTGTACACATTATTCTCTGTCTCCCTCTGCTGGACGGTCTCGGGATATCTCTGTCACACATCGGAAGGGTCGTCCCGTGCATAAGGATGACAACGGGTCCCGTGCATTTCCACGTCGCAGGTTTGCTGTCATGAGGTGCAGTGGGCGGAGATCTCAGATCGCCACGGGAGTGGCTACATTTCAAGGGCGACTCCAAACGAGATCGGTACATCGTTGTGTAAAATGCAGCTACAAACATCCCCGTCCCATCCCCCGTATATATCCTCCAGGGTGGCAGGAAGCCCGATACCATTAAAACCATTAAAACCCCCATTTCCTGTTGCCTGTGCACCATTAGAAAGATTTCCCTTCACTTCCTGTGCCAGAGACACAACAGGAAGTTCCAAGAAAGTCTCCGCACAGGGAGAGAAAAAAATCCCTTTGAGATCTTTGTCACCAGCGCAGGCGCCCCTTCGGGAAGTTTCTCCTCTTTTCCTGTTTGCGATGGTTACACGTCCACGTTAAAGGGGAAGTTACTATGATTGCGGATCAGCTTTATTATTAAATGTCTTTAAAATCATATTTTACATCTTTTTTTGTTGTTGTTTTTTTTCTCTGCATATTTTAACCTCTTGCCGTCCGCCCTCTCCCTCCCTCTCTCTCCCTCTCTCTCTCTCTCTCTCCCTCTCTCTCTCCCTCCCTCCTATCTCTCTCACTCCCTCTCTCTCTCTGATTGGAATTTGGTAGGGAGCCATCTGAACACAGTCGGGGGGGAGGAGTCACTGCTCTGACACATTCAGTTGTATGAGGTCATCTCAGCTTGAACTACTGAGCTCTGTACACACAGCGGGCTTTATATAACAGAGGAGCTGCTGAGAGCCAGGAGGACACGTAGAAACAGAGCAGAGAGCGCCACCTGCTGGCTGTGTAACAGAATTGACATTTTTCCCTCTTGGCTAAAAGAAACAATTAAATACAATTATATAATAAATTGATACAAATTACACAAAAGCCTGAAATGTTTCTAATCTTACAGTTTAATCTTTTATCTGTTGGTGAGATAGGATGGGAGGTCTCATGGGGCGTGTTGTGGTTGGTGAGATGGGATGGGAGGTCTCACAGGGCGTGTTGTGGTTGGTGAGATAGGATGGGAGGTCTCACGGGGCGTGTTGTGGTTGGGGATATGGGATGTGATTTGGGATGGGAGGTCTCATGGAGCGTGTTGTGGTTGGTGATATGGGATGGGAGGTCTCATGGGGCGTGTTGGTGAGATGGGATGGGAGGTCTCATGGAGCGTGTTGTGGTTGGTGATATGGGATGGGAGGTCTCATGGGGCGTGTTGTGGTTGGTGATATGTGTTCCCCTCATTTGTCTGGAGCCCAGTGAGGAATGATGAACAATCTGATCACCCCCCATAGCAGTCATTTATCTCCTCCTCCTCCATGCAGCTCTGGGTTCTCCTTTGTCTTCAGGGTGCCTCGTGTATCAAGTGACCTCTACACGTCCTGTGACCCCTGAGCATCCCGAGACATCCCATGACCTCTGTGACCCCAGAACACACTGAGCATCCTAAGTCATCCTGTGACCCTTGGAGAGGCAACCAGTGAGAATGGAGAGACAGCCAGAAGAGAGAGAGAGAGGAGAGAGAGCCAGGAGAGAGGAGTGACAGCCAGGAGAGAGAGAGAGGAGAGACAGCCAGGAGCGACAGCCAGGAGAGAGAGAGAGGAGAGACAGCCAGGAGAGAGAGCGAGGAGAGAGAGCGAGGAGAAACAGCCAGGAGAGAGCGAGGAGAGACAGCCAGGAGAGAGAGGAGAGACAGCCAGGAGAGAGAGGAGAGACAGCCAGGAGAGAGAGGGAGGAGCGATAGCCAGGAGAGGAGAGAGAGCGAGGAGGGAGAGACAGAAGGGAGCGAGGAGA